ATTGAGAACTCAAAACAAAATGAAGTTGTTGATTGTCCCAATCATAAGGACAAAATTTGTATCTTGAGACGATTGCAGAAAATAAAAGATTCTTCAGGTCTTATTAAATCACTTAAGTCAGAAACGGATGATGGGCTGTCGAGCTGTTCGAACTTTCCAGAGCGACCCACACTAGATGAAATGCAAAATGAAAAACCGGTTCTGCCGGAGATTGAACATTTGAGGGGCAAACTGAAAGATGAACAGCTCGAAGCCATCAAGGACGTACTAGAGCGGAACTAGGAAGTTTTTTCGAGGCATAAGGCGGATATCGGGTGTTGTAATTTCGTTGAGCATGAAATAGAACTTGAGGAAAACGCGGTACCACACAGGGAGGGGGCGAGGCGCATGACCCCACACAAATCGGACGCGTGTAGAAAAGAGATCGAGACGTTACTAGAGTATGACATGATAGAACCATCCAAGTCACCGTGGGCGTGTGGAGTAGTGATGGCCAAACAGAAAGGCGACCAGTTGAGGTTTTGTTGTGACTTTCGATACCTGAACTCCGTCACGGTGAAGGATGCCTATCCCATACCTAGGATTGATGAGAGCCTCTCGAAGTTAGGTGATGCAAAATTTTTTACGACTCTGGATTTAGGCTCGGCCTTTTGGCAAGTACCACTAAGGAAGCAGGACAGGGACAAGACAGGGTTTGCCTGCGAGTTGGGTCTGTTTCAATGGAAACGGATGCCGTTTGGACTTTGCAATGCCACAGCCACGTTTCAGCGGTTGATGGCACACGCGCTGATAGGCGTAACGAAGAAGTATGGCAACCTGGTAATGTGCTACGTGGATGACGTGGTAATAGCGACGCCAACCCTGGAAGACCACATTGAGAGACTTGACGAAGTGTTTGCATGCATGAAGAGGTCGGGGCTAAAGTGTAATCCATCAAAGTGCGAGATACTCAAGGACTCAAAAAAATACTTGGGCAGGATGGTAGACAAGCACGGAATTAGACCTGATACGGACGCCGTGGAAGCAGTCCTGACCTGGAAATCACCGAAGACAGAGCACCAGTTGATGAGCTTCCTGGGTTTCGCTAACTATTATAGAGAGTTCATCAAAGGCTATGCAGACAAGGTATACCCGATGCAACAATTAATGAGACACAAGGGCAAGAAGTTCACGTGGAACAACGCAGCAGAAGAGTCATTCCAGAGAACAAAGAAAGAGCTATGTGAGGCACCAGTACTGGGTATGCCGACTGAGAAAGGGATGTACGTGCTGGACACGGATGCGTCGGTAGTCGCGATTTCTGGGATTCTCCACCAAGAACAAGAATGGAATGGGAAGACAGTCTTGAGACCAATAGCGTACGGGAGCAAAGTCCTGAGTGACACGGAAATGAAGTACGGAGCACCAAAAGCAGAGATGTTTGCGGTGGTTACCTTTGTCGAGAAATACAGGGCATACCTGGGCAGTGAGCCATTCAAGTTGCGAGTCGACAATCGAGCACTGAGCTGGCTGAAAACGTACTCAATGGACCAAAGTTACATTGGGAGGTGGATAGTTCGCCTGGATGGATACAACATGATAATTGAGCATAGAACACGAGATAAACATCAGAATGCCGACAGCTTGAGTAAGAAGACGGAGTTCTATGAGAGACAAGAGCAAAGAGAGGCAGACAGACCTGAAATCAAAGATGGCTTCTCCTTCATGGACAAGGAAACGTACGACAGTCTTCCACTCACGAGATGGCTGAACAAGTCAGGCAAACCGATAGAAGATCATCCTGAATTGCCTAAAGAGCTTCCAGAGAAGACCATCTTGAAGAAGAGCAAGAGAATTCCGATTGAGATTATACTCAAGTCGAAGATCGTGAAGGAGACGCTCAAGGCAAAAGGCTATGATCTTAACCAGGTGGAAGCAGGAACTGCAAAGATAGATGATGACTTAATGAGGTTGCTCGAGAAACTATCAGATGATAAGCCCGTGATCCAAGAGAAGGGTAAAGAGGAACCGGAAGTCACTATACTTCGGAGAAAAGAGACAGTGAACGATACTAACTCATCAAGAGGAAGCGTCACTGACAGCAAAGATGTCGTGCGGTCACTAGTTGACAAAATCCCCGAAGACGTTCTGGAGCAGACCAAGGTCAGGAAAAAGAAAGTGACGTTCAAAGAAGATACTGAACACCTGGGACTAGGTCAAGAGTCTGGGGAGTGTTCCAGGTTCACGGATGAAGGAACCAGAGAAGGAAAATTGTCCGGGGAGCGTGAAGGATGGGATGAAGACTCGGATGAGAGCAGCGAAAACCAAGACAGTCTGTGCATGATATTGGCGGAAGAGAAGACAAGGCACCACGACAGGGAGTTACAGACGGATCCATCTTCAGGAACATACAACATGGACATACAGGAGATGCGAGGTGGTGAGGAACTTGAGAAAATTGCGGTTGCAAGGAAACCATTCAGGGAACTATCATGCAACTCAAACATCAGAACGAATCTGGTGCCAGAAGATGATATGAAAATCGTGAAAAGGCTGATATGTGTGAAACTGAGTGATGACATCCACAACCCTGGTGAGATGAATGGACAGATCATGGCGCTAAAGGAGCATGTTAAGGCGAGATATAGGCTGTCAGACCTAATAAGAGCCCAGAAGAATGACAAAATGACAAGTAACCTCTCCAAATGGATCCAGTCGGGGGTCAAGGAGAAGGGGGAACTTGAGGAAGACAGCTACAAGATCTTGAGCCAGTTCTACAAAGAAAAGAAAGACTTACTTTATGACACAGCTGATGGGGTGGTAGCGTGCAAGAGGAGAGATGAGGAAAAGATATTACACAAACACAACCTCATCATACTACCACAATTGTACCAGACGGAGGTGCTCTTCAGATCACACGACCAGATGGGCCACCAGGGGATAGACAAAGTACAACAAAGGATACTTCACAGGTTTGATTGGCCAGGAATGAGAAAAGCTTGCGAGAGATGGGTGAATGCCTGCCTGGCATGTCTCCAGGTAAAAGACCCAAGGAAGATGAAGTTTCCCCTCAAGTCCGTTGAGAGCTCAGAGTTCAATGAAGTGGTGCAGATAGACCATCAAAAAATCTGCACGACAGAGTCGGGATATAACCAGATACTGGTTATAATAGATCACTTCACAAAGTTGGCGGAAGCGGTTCCGTGCCAGACAGCCTCGGCCGAAGAGACATGTGATCATTTGATAACGCATTGGATATCGCGGTATGGTTGTCCAATGACTTTCCAGTCGGACAACGGCAAAACATGAGCCAGATGGAGGAACACGAGTACTATAGTGGCTTAATCATCAAGATAGGCGCAAGATGCTTCTTCTGTAACCAGGAGGGGCACTTCAGAATGGATTGTTCCTTGTTCTGGGAAGCGGTCAAGGACCAGAGTCACCCCAAACATAAGTTGGCATTAGCGGCAGTGCAGAATCAGCGGAATAGACAAAACGAGATTGAATCTAGGAACTTAGGAGCACTAAGCACGGAATTGCCGACGAAAACAGTGAAAGCTGTAACACATGTTAATGGTGCGATAGAGTCCGCGGCCAGGAACTCTCTAGAGATAAACTATGAGAAAGCGGCAACGGAAGCAATTGCCAAAGTGAAACAGGATCTGGCTGCGAAAGAAATAGAGCAACGACTGAAGCTGGAGATCGAAAGACAGAATTTTAACGAAGCATTAACCGGATCGAACCCAACACCAGAGGCTGTACCGGGCTCAACAAAAACCGGGAATTGTAACACTGTAAAAATGGTGACGGGAAAGCCATTCGTCATATCGAAAATTGGGGCGAGAATAATGTCGATAATCACAGTGGGCGGCCACGAGGTAACCAGAAACTTGAGTGAACCGAGCGACCAGACAATAATGCACATTGACGTGTACGCAGATTACTTGAGTTGTATAAGCCCACAAACGACTTCTAGAGCGCTGAGAGCACTACTCACGAGAGGGGGCAGCAAGTCGGTCCGTGTTGACAACAGGTATACTGAAGCTTATGGTCCACACGAGGTGATGCCAAATATAGATGGAATAAACATCTATACCAAGACAATGATAACATGTGACGAAGACCTAATTGGGCAAATCTACGTAGGGAAAGAAGAATTGAAAGTGAGATCGATTGGACACTGCGCCATGCTTGAAGAAGATGCAATGCACATCGGGACGGAGGCAGATGTGACAGGGCACGTGCTAGATATAAATGGCAAAAAGACTCAGTTGCGTGGGTTACTTGATACGGGAGCAGTCTTGAGCGTCATACCAATCGAAACTTGGGAAAGGATGGGCTTTGACAAAGGTGACTTGATAGACTCGAGAATACGGCTGTCAGCTGCAAACAAAGGGGCCCTTCGGGTGCTGGGCAGGACGCCGATAATAGCCCTCAATTTGGGGGAACGTAACCTGTGGATGAGCTTTATCGTGGTAGAAAACCTAGATGAATCTGACCAATTCATTTTGGGCAGAGACTTCATCAGGAATTTCGACGTAACGATTGACCTAAATAACGCAATGTTCAGGATACGGAACCCGGATAGGAGGTACGCAATCAAACCGGTAAATTTAATAATGGCAAATGAAAACAAAGCACCGGTATTCTTGAGTAGGAGGCTGAGGCTAAAAGCGAATGAAGCGGCAATCGTAGGCTTGAGGATGAAAAATTACAATGAACTAAGTGACAACAAGCAAGTGTGTGTAGTTCCGAACCCTAATAGTCAAAGTGCTGCTGTTTTAGGAAGATCCTTCTCGATAACGAAGAGCGGCCTCTGCGTCAGTGTCTTGTTGAATACCCTTGATATACCGATCACGATACAGAGAGGGAGGAAACTGGGATATGCTTTACCGGTTAAAACTCGATATGAAACGATTGAGAACTCAAAACAAAATGAAGTTGTTGATTGTCCCAATCATAAGGACAAAATTTGTATCTTGAGACGATTGCAGAAAATAAAAGATTCTTCAGGTCTTATTAAATCACTTAAGTCAGAAACGGATGATGGGCTGTCGAGCTGTTCGAACTTTCCAGAGCGACCCACACTAGATGAAATGCAAAATGAAAAACCGGTTCTGCCGGAGATTGAACATTTGAGGGGCAAACTGAAAGATGAACAGCTCGAAGCCATCAAGGACGTACTAGAGCGGAACTAGGAAGTTTTTTCGAGGCATAAGGCGGATATCGGGTGTTGTAATTTCGTTGAGCATGAAATAGAACTTGAGGAAAACGCGGTACCACACAGGGAGGGGGCGAGGCGCATGACCCCACACAAATCGGACGCGTGTAGAAAAGAGATCGAGACGTTACTAGAGTATGACATGATAGAACCATCCAAGTCACCGTGGGCGTGTGGAGTAGTGATGGCCAAACAGAAAGGCGACCAGTTGAGGTTTTGTTGTGACTTTCGATACCTGAACTCCGTCACGGTGAAGGATGCCTATCCCATACCTAGGATTGATGAGAGCCTCTCGAAGTTAGGTGATGCAAAATTTTTTACGACTCTGGATTTAGGCTCGGCCTTTTGGCAAGTACCACTAAGGAAGCAGGACAGGGACAAGACAGGGTTTGCCTGCGAGTTGGGTCTGTTTCAATGGAAACGGATGCCGTTTGGACTTTGCAATGGCACAGCCACGTTTCAGCGGTTGATGGCACACGCGCTGATAGGCGTAACGAAGAAGTATGGCAACCTGGTAATGTGCTACGTGGATGACGTGGTAATAGCGACGCCAACACTGGAAGACCACATTGAGAGACTTGACGAAGTGTTTGCATGCATGAAGAGGTCGGGGCTAAAGTGTAATCCATCAAAGTGCGAGATACTCAAGGACTCAAAAAAATACTTGGGCAGGATGGTAGACAAGCACGGAATTAGACCTGATACGGACGCCGTGGAAGCAGTCCTGACCTGGAAATCACCGAAGACAGAGCACCAGTTGATGAGCTTCCTGGGTTTCGCTAACTATTATAGAGAGTTCATCAAAGGCTATGCAGACAAGGTATACCCGATGCAACAATTAATGAGACACAAGGGCAAGAAGTTCACGTGGAACAACGCAGCAGAAGAGTCATTCCAGAGAACAAAGAAAGAGCTATGTGAGGCACCAGTACTGGGTATGCCGACTGAGAAAGGGATGTACGTGCTGGACACGGATGCGTCGGTAGTCGCGATTTCTGGGATTCTCCACCAAGAACAAGAATGGAATGGGAAGACAGTCTTGAGACCAATAGCGTACGGGAGCAAAGTCCTGAGTGACACGGAAATGGAGTACGGAGCACCAAAAGCAGAGATGTTTGCAGTGGTTACCTTTGTCGAGAAATACAGGGCATACCTGGGCAGTGAGCCATTCAAGTTGCGAGTCGACAATCGAGCACTGAGCTGGCTGAAAACGTACTCAATGGACCAAAGTTACATTGGGAGGTGGATAGTTCGCCTGGATGGATACAACATGATAATTGAGCATAGAACACGAGATAAACATCAGAATGCCGACAGCTTGAGTAAGAAGACGGAGTTCTATGAGAGACAAGAGCAAAGAGAGGCAGACAGACCTGAAATCAAAGATGGCTTCTCCTTCATGGACAAGGAAACGTACGACAGTCTTCCACTCACGAGATGGCTGAACAAGTCAGGCAAACCGATAGAAGATCATCCTGAATTGCCTAAAGAGCTTCCAGAGAAGACCATCTTGAAGAAGAGCAAGAGAATTCCGATTGAGATTATACTCAAGTCGAAGATCGTGAAGGAGACGCTCAAGGCAAAAGGCTATGATCTTAACCAGGTGGAAGCAGGAACTGCAAAGATAGATGATGACTTAATGAGGTTGCTCGAGAAACTATCAGATGATAAGCCCGTGATCCAAGAGAAGGGTAAAGAGGAACCGGAAGTCACTATACTTCGGAGAAAAGAGACAGTGAACGATACTAACTCATCAAGAGGAAGCGTCACTGACAGCAAAGATGTCGTGCGGTCACTAGTTGACAAAATCCCCGAAGACGTTCTGGAGCAGACCAAGGTCAGGAAAAAGAAAGTGACGTTCAAAGAAGATACTGAACACCTGGGACTAGGTCAAGAGTCTGGGGAGTGTTCCAGGTTCACGGATGAAGGAACCAGAGAAGGAAAATTGTCCGGGGAGCGTGAAGGATGGGATGAAGACTCGGATGAGAGCAGCGAAAACCAAGACAGTCTGTGCATGATATTGGCGGAAGAGAAGACAATGCACCACGACAGGGAGTTACAGACGGATCCATCTTCAGGAACATACAACATGGACATACAGGAGATGCGAGGTGGTGAGGAACTTGAGAAAATTGCGGTTGCAAGGAAACCATTCAGGGAACTATCATGCAACTCAAACATCAGAACGAATCTGGTGCCAGAAGATGATATGAAAATCGTGAAAAGGCTGATATGTGTGAAACTGAGTGATGACATCCACAACCCTGGTGAGATGAATGGACAGATCATGGCGCTAAAGGAGCATGTTAAGGCGAGATATAGGCTGTCAGACCTAATAAGAGCCCAGAAGAATGACAAAATGACAAGTAACCTCTCCAAATGGATCCAGTCGGGGGTCAAGGAGAAGGGGGAACTTGAGGAAGACAGCTACAAGATCTTGAGCCAGTTCTACAAAGAAAAGAAAGACTTACTTTATGACACAGCTGATGGGGTGGTAGCGTGCAAGAGGAGAGATGAGGAAAAGATATTACACAAACACAACCTCATCATACTACCACAATTGTACCAGACGGAGGTGCTCTTCAGATCACACGACCAGATGGGCCACCAGGGGATAGACAAAGTACAACAAAGGATACTTCACAGGTTTGATTGGCCAGGAATGAGAAAAGCTTGCGAGAGATGGGTGAATGCCTGCCTGGCATGTCTCCAGGTAAAAGACCCAAGGAAGATGAAGTTTCCCCTCAAGTCCGTTGAGAGCTCAGAGTTCAATGAAGTGGTGCAGATAGACCATCAAAAAATCTGCATGACAGAGTCGGGATATAACCAGATACTGGTTATAATAGATCACTTCACAAAGTTGGCGGAAGCGGTTCCGTGCCAGACAGCCTCGGCCGAAGAGACATGTGATCATTTGATAACGCATTGGATATCGCGGTATGGTTGTCCAATGACTTTCCAGTCGGACAACGGCAAAGCTTTCGTGGGGGACTTGACAAAAGAATTGATGAAGAGATCGCACATTGCTCAAGCACACTCGACGACCTATCATCCACAGACCAATGGGTTGGTAGAGAGACAGAACAGGACACTGGTCAACATGTTAAGGGTGTACTGCTCAAGATACATGACGGACTGGGACAAATACCTGCCACAGGTAGTAGGAGCCTACAACAGTACACAGCACTCAACGACGGGCATCAGTCCTTTCATGATGTTGACGGGCAGGGAGAGAGCAATGCCTCTGACATTCTTTTACCCGGAATACGAAGGGAAAAGGACGTCGCCTCAGGCATACGTGAAAGAAGCGATCAAAAGACAACAGGAGTTGAACGAGCTATGCAGGAGGAACACGGCGCAAGCGCAAATGAGGCAACGCAGGAAATATGACGAAAAAATATTACGAGCAAAGCCATATGAAGTGGGCCAATACGTGTGGGTCTTCCAAAATGTCATACCGCCCAAGGGAACAAAGAAACTACTCAAGAAGTGGAGGGGACCATTCATGATAACGGAGGTTCATCAACAAGGACGGTTCTATCGCTTGAGTACTGGGCGAGCGGCACATTATGAAAATCTGAAGCCTCACGTCCCGTCCCCAGAGGATTGGTGCATACCGAAGGACATGGAGGGTCTCGAGTACCTGGTGGTAGAGCCAGCGTGTGAAGTGAATGAAAAAGGCACCAGAGAGAAAAATGATGGTAATGGGAACTTGAGTTTGGACGACAACGAAAAGATAGGAGGGGAGTCTGATGCAGGATCATTTGTAGAAGAAGACTGGAACGACCCGGAGCAAGATGAGGTGCCGAAGTGGGTGGAGCCGGATCGACCGACACCACCGGAAACCAGGACTGGCAATCGTAAACGCACCAGGTACAACAGGTACGGGGATGACTTCTTGATCGATAAGATACAGCCAGACAAATTGGGCGAGGAACTACTGAGCGCAGGCGAACTGGAAGCCGGAGAGGAATGGCAGGTCATTGACGATGGTGGACACTATCCGCAGGAAGACCACTTGACGCCGGAATTAGAGACGGATCTCGAGCAGAGTGAGATAGAGAGGAGGGAGAACACGAACTTGAGGATACTAGAGTGGATGCGCGATGTCAAAGACGAGAGCCACGAAGGACAAAGCATTCAACAAGTCGATGTATCAGCGGCAAATTACATGAAGACAGAGGACCCTCTTTTCGGATGGACGGCAACAGACAGGCCACTGGACATTCCTCAGGACAATTCAGACCCGACAACATCGACGGGGACGTCGATAAATATTTTTGTCCGGGGAGTGGAGGTAGGACTTACCCACACCGAAAATTTGATGATAAAGAAGCTCAAGGAAGTGAGAGAAACAAGCGAATTGGAACTGGAAGAAGAAGAGCCGGAGCCTACCATAGGTCGGAATTTCAAAACGAAATTTGAAATACCCAATGAGTACTCGGAGAACATCATGATAACGGATAGTGACTTCATCCTGTCAAACAGGACTAGCGCGATCTGCATCACGGCGGACATGAGTTTCAAATCAAGATTGGAAGCTGACTTCAGAAGAGAGTACCAGAACGTGGAGTTTCTGTTCAGACAGAGACCAGGACTAGGAGGGATGGCAGCGCTTCCACCATCAGTAGCACAAGTCGCTGGCAAATATCTGTGCTTCCTAGTGACGAGGGTCAATGACAGGAACACAATTGATCCCGAACACGTGATGTTGGCACTAACAAGACTACGAGACTTCATGACTGAAAGAGGAATAACGGAGGTCTCAATGCCGGTGTATGACCCAAACAGGGGCAAACTGAGC